ACACGACGATTTAAAACAGTTCAATATACGACCTGACATAATTAATTTCAGAAAAACAACTGACAAACCATAAGACAAAATAATATTCAGCTTAAAAACTGAAACCTAATAGCAATTTAAGGTAGGACACGACGATTTAAAACAGTTCAATATACGACCTGACATAATTAATTTCAGAAAAACAACTGACAAACCATAAGACAAAATAATATTCAGCTTAAAAACTGAAACCTAATAGCAATTTAAGGTAGGACACGACGATTTAAAACAGTTCAATATACGACCTGACATAATTAATTTCAGAAAAACAACTGACAAACCATAAGACAAAATAATATTCAGCTTAAAAACTGAAACCTAATATCAATTTAAGGTAGGACACGACGATTTAAAACAGTTCAATATAAGACCTGACATAATTAATTTCAGAAAACAACTGACAAACCATAGGACAAAATAATAATAATATTAAGATAGTTTAGAAAAGGGCATGAAAACAGAACGTTTGATACTTACATACAAAACCAGTCTAACATAGAAGTATTTGAAACAAAAAGAAAAACAAAACTAAATTATTTTACCACCAAAGCAGTTTTTAAATGAATATAAGGAATTATTGTTGTTCCACAGATGTTTAGTAATAACACTGTAATTATTATAAAATATCTAAATTCTAAAAAAAAAAATTAATTAATCACAAGTACTTGAGCATTTTTGAAACGCATTGATATTAATTTTAAAAATTAAACTTATTAAAGTTTAGTCTTTATGATGCATTCGGAAGAATATTACCTTTAACTTTTGAAGAAAATATGTTTTGTTTAAAAATAAATAAACATGAATGTTCTCACGGCACAGATATTTTTATTTTCATTGAAACTAGCTACTCAAAATCCGGATTTCCGATACATTATTCTGCTATTTTTATTACATTTAGATAGCAAAGAAGTTCGTGACGACAAATACTAACAACGACTTGCAAGTGATTATCAGGACTGATTACCTGTATAGGTTCTGCCTACAGCAACTGCCATGTGACACAACCATGCCTTGAACGGAGAGGCTTAAAGTAAGATAACATTGATAAGCAGTTATTTCCATATATTCGAGACGTAACGAGAGCGTTGCGTGAGACAAGTTATCTCCCACTTGGAAAAGAAATCATGATTTAACTGATGTCAAATCTTTTATTTTAGATACCATTTCTAAAGTCATTACACAGTTGACAATCTGATCACTGCCATTTATGGAAGATTAATGTTATACTTCGTTTCACAATTTTACATGAAAACAACTTACGTGCATATGTTAATATGTGCTGCCAAGGTTTATCATGTGTGCTTAACAGTTTCAAAGTTTACATCTATTATTACAGCTGGTTCAGCTTATAGTATCAAACTGTATTGGAGTTTACACCTGTTTTATATCGTTAGTAAAACTTTAATGTTAAATAATAACGTTGCACACGACTGACACTGTTGATATAGTTTGTCAGTACAGAAGTTTACTTTTATTTATCGTTGTTAATATAGTTTAAATGTTAAACAATAACGTCCCACACCTTATAATGTTGATATACTTTACAAGTTTGTCAGTAGAAAAGTTTACGATTGTTTAATATTACTGATGTAATTTAAATGTGTTAACTAATACCACTATGCCACAGTTGATGTTCTTTCACGGATGATCTTCAGTGGCACAGTATGCATCTTTAATCGCGGTTGATTCAATTGACAACTCTTTAAGTTACAGTTGTTAGTATTGCCAGTGTGGCATGAACACTTTAATGACATAAAATTTTCTAGTTCCCTTTTCTAGCAAAACATAAGCACATTTTAGTACTTAGGATGTAGAACGCATTAACTAGCGGAGCATAACATTGAGTAGTATTATGTGGGAGATATTACATCACAATAAGATTGATAATAATTGAAATCACACTATTATTTACTACTTCAATACGAGTTTCCAGTAAGTTGAGTGTGTAATATTGTTTTAACTATACTTTTTATTGTTGTCTGCTGCTGCCGATGGAAGCCCTTCATTCAATATCAGAGCTCTGTTGGGCGGGTGATACACAATAAACAAAATATTATTTGATACGCTGGTTGAATCAATAATTTGTAATGCATTATGTTTTGCGACTTAGAAGTCCCGAATTGTCTTCTTGTTATGTTCACCATCTAAGGCGTTCTGCAGCAGATCCTGTAAATATTAGCTGCTAGTAGGAGAAATTTATAACTATATTTAATGTGCTATTAACAGCGCAGACAAAAATACCTTCTGTTCCGAACAGACTAAGTATTTGTCGCTAATAGCAATAACAGCAGATAGAGCGAATGGCGAGATTTCGTCATTCGATTTATGGTAGGTGATAAGACTGAGTGACTTACATCATGTTTAACATTTCTAGTAGCAGTCTGTTAAGGTAGCTTGTTATGAATGTGGATGAAACACAGAAAATATTATTGTTAATTTTGTCAGTATTTAACTATTATTTTTTAAGTAATCGTTTAAACGAAAATAAACTGTGTACGGCGACATATCTATTTTTCAACAGCTTTTATTTTTATTGCAGCCGGCGACAACCGACAGTAGCTTTAAACACACACGCTTCCTCTATATCTCGTAGCCTGTGAATTTCACCAAAGTCGGGAAAATCCACGTACTCTTATCCTGAAGCTGTACATGAGCCCACATCATCTGCCGGACTCATAGACTGTCGGAATATAGGTCCATCTCCTTGTGTAAAAACGATCCTACAAAGAAACCTTCAAATGATGTTTAGAAAACTTAAAAAGAACATCAAAATGAACAAAAAACCTGATCAAGCTTTTGTTACACCAACAGAAATTAAAACAATGTGGAATTAAATCATTGACCCACGTGTATTTAAAAGCAGGCTACAATGTTGCTGGTTCTATGTGCTCTGTAGTTTATTTGGATTATTCTACATGTTCACCTACTCGATGGGGCATGATCAGATCACACAGAACAAATGCAGGACCTCTGTGATATTCCTAACGTTTTCCTGATTTGTGATCTTTGTTCGATTCTGTTACCATTAGCAATCAGACCGTACGGGCTGAAAGGCGGCTGTTATTTCTGCTACCAGGAAACACTAACATCGCTAGTAAATATCTTATAGTAGTAACTAATAACCATATAAACGAGTGTTCCCGTTGTCGCCAAAACGCGCACCGCATTTTGGGGTCATGAATGCGTTATAATAGGGAGAGCCAAATCCCACTACTCAAGTCAGACAAGAGTAGCCTAATAGTTGCGGTAGATGGTGTTAATTAGTTATCTTCCCCCTAATCTATCAGTTAAAAATTAGAGACGGTCTAGCAGAGATAATCCTTGTGTAGCTTTAGGCGAAATTTCTAAAAATAACCAAAGAAACTCTTATTTAGATTAAATAAACACTTTTTAATATGCGTGCTTTTACAGGAATCACTCTTTTATCTTCACGAGATGTAGATGTGTGAGTAGGTTTTACCATAAGAAACTTGTTACATCCTAAATATATAATAATGTCGGCAAGAAAGAGACAGACAGTCGGTTCATGTGACAAGAATAACTTTGTATTAAACGTAATTATCTTATATAAGTAATATAGTATGCTGTAATATAAGTAATATAGTACGCTGTAAATACCCGTTGTGACAAGAATAGCTTTGCATTAAACGTAATCATCTTATATAAGTAATATAGTATTTACAGTATACTATATTACTTATATTACAGCATTCCCGTTTGGACTTGGCGCAATTTGAATTCCAAAGAGTGTAAATTTTAAAACTTTAGAATGAAAATCATAAAATGTTTACAGCTTGCTATACGATTAAAGTCTGGGTTCGGTTGAAGCGTATGCTTCTTATTTTTTTCTTACTGTTTTTCCTTTATTGTAAAACTTTGGAAAATTTTCGGGACCAATGATTTTATAGTTTGTAAGCGCGAGGTATGTCTGTTCTTTTGTATTACTTATATCCCTAGTTGAGATTTAGGCAGGATTGACCAGTTGACTGTTTGTGGGAGTTGGGAGAAACAAAACTGGCAAATAAAAAAAATATTATTATTATTACTACCGTATTAAATATCAGTATTCATTGCTATAGTAAGGTCAAATATATTTGAACATTTTTATTGTGCGCGTCATTCTATGTTTTCAGCCATCTATTTGTGTATATGCATTGCCTGTCATTTTACTTGTTATTTATCATTTTCTTCACATCTTTACTGTGCCTTTTGTCCGTTAGAGTTTTTGTATTGGTGTTCTAAGTATCAAAAAGCATATCACAACATTAGATGTAGCTAATACTTGTAGATATTACGTTCAATGTGAACATAATTAAAGCTGTAGGATAAGAAATGTTGCACCGAAATAAAAAAAAGTAGAATTGTAACAAACTAGAAATATATTAAAGTTTTATTATTAGTTGAAGCTCGGTGTTTAGTGCTATTTTACAATAAGCATATTCATTTAGGCTCTTAGAGCATCACAGAAAATTTTTAAAAATTGCTTTGGAAGGTTTAACTTTAACCGTAGATATTATGAAACTCTCTTAGTTAAGACGCGCTTTATATTTCTCGAAATGATCACATGAAGGTCGTTTAACTGAGCCATTGACCACATTTTTCTCTCTCTTAGAGGTAGTTTATACATATCTATATTTTCAGATATTTTCCTAAAACCTACAAAGAACAGGACAAAATCAATGTTAATATTAAAAACAATAATGTTTAGAGTCAGTGCTATATTTAGTGGTTAACGTTCAAGTCCATGTAAAATGTTTTCTTTTGGGTTTGCATTTAGTGCAATAAATCATTTATCGCTGTTTTCTTTATTCCAACAAAATGCAAGTGCTTTTCACCATTTTTTTATAAAACAAATGTTCATCTTTCACCTTTACCAATGAAGATTCATCATTCTCGAGAGTTTCAAGCGCTACAGACCAAAAGAGACAGAAATCACGTGTTTGTTATCATAGCATAATATCACTTACATTCGTACAGATGAGGTGGGGATTTTTGGATTCCTGAATCCAATCACGATGTATCACACTTACTATATTTTAAACCAGCCAATGAAATCGCAATATAGACGATACTCGTGTATACGTGTAGAGCATAAAGTCGGGTGACATGCCATTATTTCTCTTCGTGACACAGCTCGAACGTGGGGAATAATAGCTGTAATCGGGAAGTTGCCGACAGCATAAAAATATGTTAGTAATAGAGAACATTAGGGACACTTCCGGTAAAGAGACATGGCTCATCAGAAACACCGGAAAGGTAGAGATAGAAGACTTTTATAAGCTTTTCAAGTTTCTCTAAAGCGTCGTTCAGTTCCAATCATTTAAATATTTCTCTCTTTTTGTTATTTTTTATGGATTTTATCTGTTGCAATAAAACGAAATATCCATATTATCTACTAACGTACCTATTACTGTTGTTTCGCCATCAACGGTTAACATGTATAGTTGTCTAGACAACGATATTGTTTTGAAAGTAAACATACATCTTTAGTAGAGAAAATATAAACAATTAACTAAATCGTCTGAACATTCTATAATTTATAATTAATCTTTACATTTTGTAAAAAAACCTACTATAATTATTCTACTACTAATTGCTCATTTTGACACTATTTTAATTGTATATATAGACATACAATTAACGTACACTTTACGCTTTTGTCTTTAAACAGACACAGTACAGTTTATACGATACACACCTTTTTTATCATATATCTGAGTAACGTTTAAAACAAGTGTACAATTGTAATGTGTTATATGTCCTTAAAATGAATAATAAACTTTTTGATGACGTTATTTGTGCAACATATACAACCATACGTCCTAAATATGTTCTTTGTTTACACAAATAATTATTGATACAACATTAAAAAACACTTTCGCCCTATTATCTGTGTAGCACGTACAATTATTTACTGAAAACGCATATACAGTTACAAAGACTTTCATAATTATATATATCTAACAGGTATGATGTATATATATATATATATATATACACTAAATAACCTTTTAATTTAAAAAGCATGTAGTGTCACGAAACACATAATATACATATTAATCTATACACGGAGAAAAGTTTACATTGCTGATTGAACTGCTCTTTCAAATATTTTCTGCTTTTGTTATACTATATGATTTAAAGCACAACCAAAAATAATTGCTATCAGTTCATTTGCCCATATTATTCACTTCATCTATGCGAGTGGGTTGCTTAGACATCAAGTACATCTGGTGTAAGAAAGAAACATCACATACCATAAACAGCGGGTTCAAATCTATAAATCATTATTGAAATACCACTGAGATCTGTGTGTTCGTTTTTCAACACCACATCATATATACAGCTGACTTACGTCTATACATTAATATTTAAATATCACACCATATACAATTGGATGAGATTCGTATATTATAATCCAAGCATTACATGCAGCTGACTCAGATCTCCATGTTATGATATGAACATTATGCCGCATAAATCAGATGTAAATCCGCATATACATATCACGGACTAAACAACATATATGGTTGACTAAAATTATATCTATATATATATATGTATATATATGGCGTAAGTTTTTATATATATTGTTTAATCACCACACCATATATACGTTTTATGTTGTTTTTTTGGTGTTATTAAAACATTACATCACCCACACACACAGCTGAATGAAGTTTTCATGTTGTTGTTTTTTTTTTGGTGTTATTAAAACATTACATCACCCACACACACACAGCTGAATGAAGTTTTCATGTTGTTTAACAGGTAGTACACTGTGCACAGGCGTCTTAATTTTTTACATTTTTATTTAGATATCCGACTATAAATAGTTGACTTAAGTATTTTATGTGTTCTTATTTAGGCACCACACCTTATATATGTAATGTAAGATTGTTGTCTAGGTTTCATGGTCAAAAATTTACAATTAAGATTAACATTTCAGTTTGTACTTAATAATAAATATTAAGATACTTGTCATTAACGTGACTGATATATCGCTGTTTTGACATTAAAATCGGATCATATCGGAAATAATCTGTTACATTATTAAAACGTGAACATTTATGTAACATAAGTAAACTATTTATATGTATTAATAACGCGTAGTTAGTTACAAAAGACTATTTAACGGGCAATACTTCACATTTATTTCGCTTATTTACTTTGTTGAATGTTACCGTTGTATTGTTTAACTGGATTAAGGAGTTAAAATTATACAAAGACCGAAATTGTGGTGTAAGTTTCTTGATTTTGTATTAAAGGGTTAGCTTGCCTGCCGCTGTGCTTGATGACTGTTAAAAAACAAACAAAAACGTGTACAGCAACTTAATTGAACGTACAGCATAACACTTTCAAAAGCGTTTGAATAATTTGAAATATGACAGTCGCTTTGTAATGCATATTATCGGACCTAATTAGCATAAAATTTATTAGGCATTAAAAATACGGTAATAAATTTATCAGGAACTTTCGGACAGGTATCATTCGTTTAGTGTTCAAGGTATTTATTTAATGGTTAGTAATGTTAAACACACAATATTCTGTATTCACCAGATCCTGTTACTAAAGATGTATGCATATAACTGCTCGTGCACTTTGGTGTCAGCATGGCCATGTGCTCAATCTAATGAAAATAAGCCAACCGTTACAGTCTGTATACAATAGGCATTATGCAAATACGATCCCAGTTTTA